ATGACCTTCACAGAATCATACAGTTCATTCGATTTAATTAAATGAAGCAAACATTTACTGTGCTCCAAGCTTGTAACCAGGCACAATGGAGGCTAAAGAAATTAATAACACATTGCCCCTGCCCTCTAGGAGTTATTTATCATCCAGTGAGGGGGATAGGAAGACAGGATTGATGTATGGACAGGCAGATGGGGGGGAGAACAGAGAGGGAGAGGGAGCAGGAAAGGGGGGAGGGGAGAGGGAGACAGGGCAAAGTAGATTAATGTCACTCACACAGGCTAGGGTATGCAGTAGAATGCCAATAAAAGTAAAATATGGGTGTGCTTTTTAAAAAATCATTTTAATCAAATTTAAAAAGAAGCAATATATCTAAGTCTAGTGAAATAAATCATGATTTCATTCCAGGGGAACAAACCTTGTACAGTTCTCTGACACACCGGCTTTTTTTAATATATACAGAATGTATTGAGACCTGGGAACACCCAGTTTGGAACACTTCCCTCCACTGACAAGGTAAACAGTTACGTCGAATTGCAAAGGGCTTTGTGAGCCTGTATATTTGAAAAGACTTATTTCTCCCTTAATCTCCCATGTATTTTAGGAAGAAGACAAAAAAGAGAGAGAGTTGTGCGTGATGGTTATCAGTTTATTGCTGTCTGGTTTGTTAGACATCCAAGGTCAATAAAAGGAATTGCTCTCTGACTGGATTATCAAGGGAAACGGAGCTGTATCTGGAACTCAGGAACTCTAAAAACCCGTAGTATTTCCTTGCCCGGTAGTAAAGGCTAATAAAGGTAGAAGCTGCCCCTGATAGCTGCTATTCCTGCGCTCTTAGAGCTGGCCAACGTACTACCAGCCAGCTCCTCATTGCTCTAATCTCCCGTTGTAATGAGTTCACAATTTCTTATATTAAATTCCAAGCTACTATGTTTCCCAGTCGCAACGAGTACACCCCATACCCAGATCTTGGTTTCTAAATACCACACCAGTTTTCAATCACTGGGGTTCCTTTGAGAAATGGCTTATCTGGGGCTAGAGCAGGAAAACACAAGATGAACCTGGAGTATTTCATAGCAATGGAGAGTAAGTACATGCCCAAAATGAAAAAATTGGGCCATGTCAGCAGGACACAATGACCAAAGCTGAAACCATTTGAGTAACACAATTAATTATGCAATATTGGCTTATAACCCAAGATACCAGATAAGTACACATGAGTCCATACTGATATAAATAAGGATCCTAATAAATGGAGAAGAAGCAAGTCTTCCTTACAGAACTCAAAGTAATGTAGACAGGCATTTTCCCATCAAAAATATAAATCTTAATTCCTGTCCTTCAGGAATTAAGGACAGGACAGGAATTAAGGCTAGTCTACTCCTCTCGCTTCCACAGAATAGAGTAGAAAAAGGGAAAAATATGAACCTTATGTGGGGAAACCTTGCAAACATCACTTTACTCAAGTGACAAAGATTAACCAAGAGATGACAGCGTAAGTGATGTCATGTGAATATCAGGATATGATGTACTAAGAAGGACACTTAAATTCTATAGGATTCTTTTCAAAACGTATAACCCTAGTCTTTTCATGAGGAAAAACATCAGACAGACACTGACTGGGGGACATTCTACAGGATATCTGGCTAGTCCTTTTCTAGACTCTCAAGGCCGTAGCCATAAAAAAGCAAAGAAATATTGAGATTCTGTCACAAACCAGAAGAAATTGAGGAGATAAGCCACCGAGAAGCGTTACAGTGCCCTGAAACATGGAACAGAAAGAGGACATTAGTGAAAGAGTTGATAAAAATCCAAATGACAACTGGAGATTACTTAAGAGTAAGACGTAAGTAAAAGTAATACTTAATATACTGGTGTCGGTTTCTTAGATTTGACAAACGATAGTAATTGAAGAAGTTAGCTATTAGGGGGGCCATCAGGTGATGTGGTGATTAAAAGGTGCTGGACTGCCATGTGGCCGACTATGGTTTGAGTCCCAGACCTGGTGACTTGCTTTCTCAAAACTTTTCCTCTCTCTGATCAAACCAGAAAATAATAATAATAATAATGATAATAATAAATAAAGCAAACAAACAAACAAAAACCTACCACTATTTTTGTTTCCTGATTGGACTCTGACTGAGCCCGAGAGCAAGTCTCATCATCAGAACTGCTGTTTCATGGGAATCAGCAGTTAGCATAATGGCTATGTCGCTGGACTCCCACGTAGTCAACCGTGTGTTCGCATCCCGGACCCAGTGGCTTAAAACTCACGCTGGGCGCATGTGCGTGCGTGCCCAAGATCTAGAGAGAATGGAGGAGAAGGGATTGCGGTGTGGCCATCCCCCCTGGGGGGTGATTTCTCGCTTTCTGTCTCTCTGTCTCTGTCTGTCTGGCGAGTGCATGTGCCCTACAGCAAAAATCTCTCCAAAAAAACAAAAAAAAAAGAGAACTACAGTTTCATGGGTCATCATATGGATTTTATATATCACCAAATTTATACATAACAATAGCCAAGGAGGAGGGGAAATAGAAGCAGATTCCTTAGAAATTAGGCTATTTTGGGATCAGCAAGTGGTGTGCTAGTTAAGGCGCTGAGTACTCCCACGTGGCCGATCATGGTTCAAGTCCTGGACCTGGTGGCTTGCTTTCTCACTTTCTCTCTCTCTCTCTCTCTCTCTCATCAAATTTAAAGAAATGAATGAATAAATTCAAAAAATTAAAAATAAATAAATGCTTCTCTCTCGCTCACTCTCATGCATACATGTGCTCTCTATCATGAATAAAATAAGTAAACAAAAGTTATAAAAGAAAAAGAAATTAGGCCATTTTAACTCTGCTATGTAGTAGATTACTAGAGCACACATTTTGTTCCAGAATTATCTGTTCAAGAGTAAACAAAATTATACATTTCCTGATATCGAATAACTGCCATGGATAAAACCCAAGTAGCAGGACCCAGTGAGTGGTGCTGCTCAGAACTGCATTTTCTTATGTAAGTGAAATTTAAAAAAAAAAAAGGTATCAGGAATCTTTTTCCCAGAACATCTTTAAAGACTTTAGGCATAGGTTCATATTTATTTATACTTTTGTTTGTTGTAAAGTCAAAACATGAGTGGTAGAAATAAATAAAATTTTGCTTCAATATCATCCTCCAGGATTAAAAGAACATGTTCTCAAAACTCTAGAGTCATCAGTCAAAACTCAATCAACAAATAAAACAGCAGTTTATTTTCTAGAAAGCACAAACCAGTTCTAGGGCGTCTAAAAGCCATGCAGGTCTTTACTCTGTTTATACAAACTTTTCAGCCAGACTCCTTAGCCTGGGATAGGGTGCAGATTTAGAATCCTAGTCCTCATAAACTGAAATTACGCCACAGCTCTCTTGCCCTAGAATTAGTAAGAAACCTCATTTTTCAAATGAAGAATTCACTTACTCTTTCCTTTCCCACTAGTTTATAATAATGTTATTTTTCTTCGAAATGTCTAGGCCCAAATGATTTTTAAACTTGGAAAGTTAATGAAAGCAACATTGCCTTTGAGGTCAGTCGGCCAGAAAAATGGATGTGAGCCAAAGCCCACATCCCAAACATTTTGCCTCAATGGCGTGTGAACAAAATGCCCACTCTCCTCCTGATCTCCAACAGGAGCAAAACAAAACCCTGCAAGACAGTTATCCGCTGGAATCGAGGAGCCTGTCAGGGGGAGAAAGACACACACACACACACACACACACACACACACACACACACCCTGTATAAGGTACAATAAAAAGGCTCTTTCACACCAAGTGTTCTGAGCACAGACAGCACCAGGCTTTTCCCTGGAGAAGAGGCTTTAAGGAAAGCCAAGAGATCCAAAGTCCGAGACAAGTAATCCTCACAAGATAAAGAGTAATCTCCCCAGTTCCAAAATAAGCAAGTAAAAGTCTTAAAACCTGCTTATCTAGACAACTTAAAGTTGTCTCAGACTAATTTCAGAAAATTATTTGGTAGCAATGAAGACGAATTTGTGCTGTCATGGGACCCTGTTCATTTTTAAAAACTATGATTTCCTCTTCCTAAATGTGACACTTTGTGCATTACAATTTAGTTGCACTTCAATCCCCTCTAACATTTCTCAAGGCAAAAGAGAAGTATGAAGAAGCAGGAAGTGGGCACAATCATGCATGCAGCAACCTGTTAGCTGGAAGACTGGGAAATTCAGAACAGCGACTGCATTACATGATATTTCGTCATTTAATTTTCAGGATAATGAATAAGGGGTCCTAGGGAGAGCTCACTATAGTCCAAAAATACCGTAATTTTTGAAATATAATTCTAACATATTGGAGACAAAGTATATGCTATGTTGTTTCATTTAACGAGCACCAAAATGTTCATGGATTATCTTTTATTACAAATATTTCTCCCCAAAATTATGTAAGCAAGTGTCCATTATTTGCACTCCAGAATTCAGAGATAAATAGATATGTTAACATCAAAAATACACATTTTAATTCTGAGTTAAAACCAACAAGAGGTAAATTTTAATCACCAGAAAACTATCTTAGACAAACCAACAAGCAAAACAGAAATTAGAGTCCAATAGTTACGTTACCACAACTGTCTTACTAGAGCAAGGAATCTAAATTCTGGCTCCTACACTGGAAAATGCACTCATATCTTCAGAAGAATAAGTCTCAGATTATTGAAATCTCCTTTCCAAGCACTTTTCTCTAAATGTTATTAAAAACAATTTTGCATATAATACAAATGGAATTTGAAAAGTTGGTGGAAAAATGGAACTGAAATATAATTTATTTTGATTTTAAAAAATTGAAATCCATGCATAGGTTTTTCCTAAGATATATTTTTCTATAAACTTTTCAAAGGCCCCCTGTATGGTACATGTGTAGATTTAACTGCACTGAAGAGGGAAACTATGGCTCAGGAGAATCTGCAGACAAGGGGGCCTACACAGCAAAAACACCCCAAGACAGACAACAGCAGGTGCAAACTTACCACTGGAGCAGTTGGTCCCACCCCAGCCAGGCTCACACTGACAGGTGTTTGGAGCGATGCAGCGACCATGGACACATTTATCAGCGCAGTGGGCTGTCAGAGAGAAAATCAATCAAATAAAGAAAGTTGGCACAAGACAAAAAAAAAGTCAACAACACAGCTGTTGCACATCCCAGTCTCAAGTATCACTTAAAAACAACATGCATGCGTGATAATTTTCCTCAATCTGTTCCTCAGCCTTCTTACAGCCTACTGTATAACCAAACAATTCCCCCTTCTTATTCTGCTGTCTCCAAATAAATTTCGTCATTTCTGCTATTTAATTCTAGTTCATGCTAAATTAGAAAAGAAGTTTCAAGGAAAATTGCTTAATCCACCTTAAAATATATATATATCAACGAGTACCAAATATATCCTCTTTGATATGGGAGGAGCATATTTGGAGAAACAAGCCACAACGTAAGATAATAAGCCTGGCTCAGAGTGACAAGAACAGTCGGAGAGGTGACCCCCTTCATGCACGGCATTCACCAGGAACAATAGTCACGTTTGTGGGTGAACAGGTTATTCACAACAGTGACACAGCAGAATTGTATGACCTATTTCTTCTGTTGAGAATATTTGAAAAATATTCACACCCAAGTCTTTGGGAAATGTTAAATCTCAATTCTTCCATTGCTATCTTAGATGTGATCCAACCTTTGAAGGCCAGGGGTTCATCCTACTGGCAAACATGAGTGGATGGATGGTCTGATAATGCCCCCTAAAAATCATCTGACTGACAGAAAGGAGCACCCAAAATATGCCGTGCTGGATATTACCACTAACTTCAACCTTTGTGCTGTCCACACTTGCTTAGTTAGTGATTCTTTAAAGTACCTGGATATGGGAGTAATTGTCAGGACAACTCGGAAGAGTTTTGAGTTCAGGTATTCCAGAATTTAAGAGTGGCATAAGATACTCATTTTAAAGATAAATTTTATGAAAGTAAGACTGGGCAAGCTGGCCCTGTATCTTTCCTCCAGTACCCAGCTCCCAGGTATTAAAGTGGGTAACCAAATGGACGATAAACTAAACCTATGCTCCAGGGGATTAAGAATTGCCATCACATACTTGAATGCCAGTTCATCATTTCTTGCTTCTCTTATTTTGTTAATTCCGAAGAATGATACTAAGTAAAGTTCTACCCACAGAATCAAAGGAGAACTGCTGCAAAATGCTTTGAAGTTGCTAAATAATCATAGACATGTTCTCACATTTGATTCTTGAATGTGCAACTTTGTGCTTTCTGAAATTAATTTCAAAAAGTCCAGCTAATTAAAATAAATAGGGAAAAAATCCCACGATGTTAATTTAAAATTTTTATTATTATTATTATTTTGTTAGCATGAGGATACTCCAGAAACAGAGGTGGAGAGGAGAAAGCACCCCCTGTGGAGAATGGTCACGTCACAATCCTTTCTCCTCCATATCTCTTTTTGGGATTCTGGGCATGCACACACATGTACCCGGTGTGTTTCTCAAGCTGCCAGCTCAAGGACTCAAGCCACACAGTCAGCTATGTGGGATCCAGGCCCAGGCCACAGAGACAGCAAAACTCTGGACTAATTTTATAAAAACTTTTAGCTAATATATGGCCAAAATCTGCAGCAAAGTGTGGATGTGTTGTTTCAGAAATGTGCCTGTAAGTTAACTAGGAAGTGGGAGGGGGCATCTGCTCTCCTAGTGAGTACTCTTTTCTTAGTTAAAGCTAAAACCAATAGAATCACCTCTGAATGTTTCAGCCTGGAGTCAAATAATGATCTACAATAAAGGATGGGAGAAATTGTTGGAATGGAGTCTAAAAGGAAAGAGAACAAAATTATGCCTCCGCAGTGCAAAATTTTCACACAGTAGTGGGCTCTATCACACGAATGGCACCTCTGCCCCATGCCCTTTCCCCACCATCTCCGGGCTCCCCACATCCAGCAAAGCGCTCACCGAGTACCCACAGGATGGTCAGCAGCAAAGGGAAGCAACAGAGGAAAGTAGAGTAAGCTCAAGAACCTCCATGCTCTCTGATACCCCAACTCACCACACTGTGAAAACACCATGGCAGATACAGTGACACAGCCCCCCCACATCCCACAGGCAATAGATACATCCCTCCCCCAACCCTGTCTTCCCTCATTCAGCTTCAGATGTCACCTACTCTGGGGCTGAGCGTCCATGACAAACAAACTCCTCATGAAAAACCAAGGCTGGTTAAAGACATGAATTTGTCATGTAGAAAAATCCAAAACTGAACTAGAGAAGAAGGAGAGCCGAGGCCTGCATATAGCAAATGCTCAGTGGCTACAAAGGCCTGACTGAGCCTGGCTTTCCCACCTCTGAAACAGTCGTTTTATGCCCTGTTTCAGTCCTTTCTTCTTTTTTTATTTTTTAAGAGAGATTTTTGCTACAGGGCACATGCACTCACTGGAGACACAGAGAGGCGAAGAAACAAAGTGAGAAATCACCCTCCAATGGGATGGCCACACTGCAATCCCTTCTCCTCCATTCTCCTCTCAGGCTCTTGGGCACACACGCACACGTTCCCAGCGTGAGTTTTAAGCCCCCGGGTCTGGGACTCGGACTGTGGTTGACTACGTGGGAGTCCAGTGACATAACCATTATGCTAGCTGCTGGTCCCTTTTCTTATTTTTTTTAAAAACGATTTCTTGGGGGCAACAAAGGGTATGGTGATTAAAGCACTGGAATCCTACATGGCCTACCATGGTTCAAGTCCTGGGTCCAGTGGCTTGAAAACTATTCTGATGCATGTGTGTGCATCCCAAATCCTGAGAGACAATGGAGGAGAGGGGATTACAACATGGCCATCCTGCCTAGGGGGCAATTTCTCATTTTCCCTCTATCTCTCTGTCTCTCCAGTGAGTCCACACACTCTATGGCAAAAGCAAAAAAAAAAAAAAAAAATTATTGTTGAGTGAGAAAAAGAGAGAGAGAGAGAGAGAGAAAGGGAAAGACAATGCTCCCAAAAGGATTCTGATGCTGCGATCGACCTACAGCCCAGGTGGCCCAGGATCAGGCACCTGCGTGTCCAGTGCACTCAGGGAGGTCTCGGAATGTGAACCCAGGATCTTCCCTTGCGAGTCAGCCTCATACTGCACTCACGTTTTACTCCTGTGCCACTATGCAGAACCCTTTCTTTTTCTTTTTTTATTTTTAAAAGGACAAATAAAACCAGGACAATCCTAGCAAAGACAATTTGTCATTTCTTTTACACAATGCTCTTTTAAAAAAAATAATTAAATATCAAATTCCAAGTTTTCAGTAGCCTTTTTTGAGAAGCCAAATAGAAGCTGAATCTTGGTCCACACTCATACGCTGCTGAAAATACACCGAGATGCAAAGGGGAGACCCCGCGTCTTTCAAGAACTGACAGGCAAGAGGCGCTGATGAGAAGACCAGGCCCTGGCTTTGAAGTGCAAGCTGTGGACAGTCTGTCTGTCTGACAGACAGGTGAGGACTGACATGATGACCCTGGACTCTTCTCTAATTAGGCTCCTATTTCAGCCTTAGTTCCTAAATCCATTTAAATCCCACTACCAATGCCAGGGTCCTCATTCCTTTCACTTGTAAATACTTGGCTTTAGTACAGAAAGCCATTAGTATACTCAATAGTTTTCTCATCTGCCACCTACATTTCTCTTTGGATTTACACCAAGGGGTGGCAAAAAAAGGTTTAAGGAAGAGAGGACAGACTGAAGACTCCTTTATAAGCTAATTTTATCTCTGGAGATGACATATATCATTGTCCCAAAGGATATATTGATAACATAATAAATTTATTTAAATTAATTGAGAAAATATTTCCAGGATCAAAGACTCTCGAAAATAACTGTCCAATAGAAAAGCAAACCTTCCAGCTAATCTTTCTTCCCTCAGAAGTTCTTTTATTCTTATGTTATGAATAACAGAGAATAAGTCACAAGTCTTGTTTAATCTCTGTTATTCTGTCAGTTGCTGTAGAGAAATGTGGACTTCTGTAGTATCGTCTCTAAACATCATTCCGTGTTTTACAGATAAGGAAACAGAGCAGAAAAAATGAAATAATTGCCCCTAATATTCAGAGCTGGCATTAAAGGCAGAAGTAGGATGAAACCCTGACCCCTGACTCCTAGTGGACCAAGACTTACAATGAATTTAGTAAGAGTGGAGGTGGAGAACAGGGCTGAAAAGGATAGAAGAAGGTGTGCTGGTTCAGATGGGGGGGGGGCGTGTACTATGGTTAGGAGTCAGATTTAAAAGAGGAAGAGAAAGACAGTAGACTTGACGTCCAAGATATGCTTTATCTTTCCCATACTTTTGTCCAAGTCAATTATATGCAAAGTCTTTACAAAATCTAATTACTACTACAAGATTCAGTGTGGGCAGAAATTACCTTGTTTTCATATTTCCAAACATTACATTGCGGCCTACTCTATTATATTTATTTATTAAAAGGAAAGGGAATTATTTTTTCCTTCAGTTTAATAGTTACTGATGTAACAGGCACATCACAAGACTACTATGGATACAAAGATGGCAGACTAGGAGCTTGGCCTGCATAGGAGTTGGGAGCAGGCCCACAACACCCAAAATACACAGAGCAGAATGCATGGGTGCCAACGGGTCTGAGCAACATGCTGTGAGAGCATACCAAATGACTCTGTTTATATAACGTGTCTAAATACACGATTCCAGATAGGCGGAAGTATATCAGTTGGTTATCTAGGGCTAGGAGAAAGTGTGTGTAACTGGTAAATATGGGCTTCTTTTTAATGGGTAGAGGGTTTTAATTGGGGGGAGATAATGAAAATGTTCAAAATTGATTGTTGACGGTTGTACAACTCTGACTATACTAAAAGTTTGAATTGTAAAATGTAAGTGGTTGAATTGTATGGTATATGAATTATAGTTCAGTAAAGTTGTCATTAAAAAATACCGTGCAAGCTGAGGGAAGGAATCACTTATTTCGAATTGAGATGAGATCAAGGAAGAGCTCATGAAACAGAGAACACCTGAGCTGAGAAAGTGAATAATTCTGTTATAAAGTTGCAGGGAAGGATGAT